GCTTTTCTTTTGTTGCCAGCTACGGAAGCGAACGATTTGATTAACTTTTAAATGAAAAATGTTAAGGTGTGGGAAAATCAAGCATTATTTTACGACACAGTGGTGCAGGATTTTACAATAAAATTACTCCCACACTTGGTGCTAGCTTCATCTCTTCATCCTTGTAAGTTAGAAAATTTTAATTGAACTAGATTGAAATAAAAATTAATGATAATTTTATCAATTATTCAGTACAACTTCAGTTATAAATAAAGTAGTATATATTTAGAATATGCAACTTTAATTATATAAGTTATAATATTTTACCGCATTATATTTTTGTATTTAATCATCCAATCTTACGCACAAAATGATTTTTGATGAAAATTAATAAAAAATGTTATTATGTAATATGTTTTAAGTTTGTTAGATGGCAAAAGCGTTGAGTTACAAATATGGGATACTGCTGGGCAAGAACGATATGCATCTATGGTAAGTACTGCATTTATTTACAAAAAATATTTGTTCATTGTTATAAAATTTTTATTCTAATTGTAGTAATTTTATTAAGCAATTATTAAAATACTTTAGCTTCCAATGTATTTGCGTAATGCACTTGCCGCTATAATAGTATATGATATAACCGATCGGGAATCATTTGAAGGTCTTAAGAAATGGATTGATGGTAAGTTTGTTTGCTACAAAAATGTGAAAAAAAATTAAATCATAAAATTTGCATTATTGCTAAATAATCATAAAACGTTTTCAGGAATGCTGAAGTTAGTCGGCACACTTTAATTTTAAGAAATGATAACATAGCATTTATGCAATTACACTATTGTAACAAAATTATAACTGCCAATATTGTTACTGTCGTCGTAATGAAATTAATAAATATTTTAGTAATTGATTATTAAGCATATCGATGACATGGTTTTAGAAGTGGAACGCTGTTCAATGGATCCTGTATCAGTATTTATTGTTGGTAATAAGTTAGATCTGGAGAGTAATCGTTCAGTACATTTTAAAGAAGCTTCTCAGTATGCAAAACACATCGGTGCTGCTTTTTATGAAACTTCAGCTCTTACTGGTGAAGGTATTCGGGATGTAATCGTTGCTGTAGCAAAACATTTGCTTGAGCGTCAATCTATTCAACAGAATGCTGCATCAACACAGTTAAGCAATTTTAGTACTACCAAACTTAGTAATAATTGTCAACCAAAAAAATTTTGTTGTGCTAGAAGTTAATTGTAATGAATATTAGTTATATGATTTGCATTTCATTTTTTACTTACTATAAAAAGTAGCAGATTTCTGTAAATTTTCTCAGGTGTGACTAAAGAATTTGTGCAACATGCATAAAATATTCATTCATGATTGTATTCTCTTTTCATTATATTATATCCAAATCAAGATAGGTCAGATTTTAATTTTTTGTCTTTATTATTTAAATCTTATGATTTCGATAAATCTGTTATTGATAAATATTTGTCATAATTACTCTTAAGTTATTCGTTATATGAAAGTTTTTATAAAATTGGTAGCTGGAAAATTTACTAGAACCGTAAAGTATATTTTCTACCACGTTTTTTAACCTTCAATACGTGTTTAGAAAATGTATCTGAATGCTACAAACTGATTAAATGCTTTCTGCGTCATATTCAAATATCAGTATATTCGTATTAATAAGTAGGTATGAAAGATTGCATCTCAGGTATTGCCTACCTCTGTGCAGGTTTCGTATGGTGAGTGTATTTTCTGTTCTTGTTTAAAGATATTCTTACTATTCTTTCATAGTTTCAGATTCGCTTAATCTGCTTCTTGATGACATTATTCTATCACTTATTGCAGCTTTTGCATTACGTCTGTATGTGTACTTATCGTTTGTATATTTATGCTCAGTTCATTACTTATCTGTAAAATTATCACTGTTCTGTTTTCATATTTACAGAGTTGTTATTGTTACATTTCTGAATATACTTTGCATTGTGTGACAAATATGCTGCATACAGTCGGTTTGGAAGCCTATTCTCTGACTAATAAATACTTGTAACTATTACTGATAAATAATCTAGGTCTTAAATTCATTACTGATAATGATTCGGGGAGTTTATTATAAGATTATTTATTTAAGATAATTATATTAAACACTGTTAGTGAGAAAAATAATGTGAAAAATTCAGCGAAATTGCCAATAAAAATAATCCAAACAACCATTGTTAATTCAGCTGGCAATGATTATTTGCTTTCAAGTCGTAATAAAAATTTCTGATATTTATGAAGCTATGCAAAAAATATTGATATGCTAATGATGAGACATTTGATAGCAATTAAATCGTACTGCAAATATTATAGGAAGAATATTTTGTCTGCATGCAAATTTTTCCTTTTCATAGTAAGTATCTATAAGATTTGCTATAAAGTTAGATGATGTTACAAACTACAAGGAAGGTAATAGATAGCTCAGTTAATTCGTATTCACTTTTCCTTAAAGACTGATAATTACACTAGCAACAACTAGTAATCGCAATGGTAATAATTATACAGTCCCACTAAACAGACAATTTTCCGTAACTTAGCAATTTCCATTTGACATGCATTAACCAAATTACTATATTCTGCGGTAAATTACAATGAATAATTCTTACTCTAACCGATTATGACTTCATCACACCGAATACTAAACATATCATAAAAAATCACAGTTTTATTCTGATTTGTTAAAGTGTCAAAACTACTTACATTAATAATTTTCTCAAATATTAATCAGTTTTATTCAGTTATTTCTTTCACAATTAATGGATGTAAAAGTAAACAAACAAGGAAAATATTGCACTAAACGTTTGCGATAACATTTACTTCTACGTGTTATTCGAAAAGAATTTATTATTTTCTGCAGTCTTATTGCTAGATATTTGCTCTGACGTGTACTTTTTAACCAATATTTACAAATTTAATATCGCTAGAGATGTTATTATCTATTTTTTTTCTCATAAATTACATATTTCCATATTTTATTGCTTTTTTAAGTATTTGTAAAATCACTATGACAGATTACATTGATCAGAATAACTTGTTTCTTCTCAATACCACAATCTCTTCACAATAACCTATTTAATCACTACACAATTAACTACCTTTGTTCTCAATTAGGTCAATCACACCAAAACGTGTAGTTGCAAGTAGTCATTATATCATCTGATTAATTTATTTTCTCTTTGCTACATGTTTACATAATTTACTGCTTCTTAAGGAGCAAAGAAAACGTTGAATGAAGAGAGGGCAAAGATAACATACTATGGCAAGAGATTACTTTTAGGCACAGTTAGGTAACAAATTGGTAAGAGTGATTACAGCACAGATTGAAAATGAAGATGTTAGGGGCGGATTTCAGTGTTAATATTACGTGGCGGTAGTGAAGTAATCCTCTTTCAAGTATTAATTGATGAGTAGTTAACACATTAGCTGATGAGTGAAGAAACAATTTGGTGAAAGTGATGAGTGAGTAGAGTATGTTTTGTAATTGTGATATGGTAGTATGCGGTAGTAAGGAGTGTACGGTGAAAAGGATAGCATGTGGTAAGTTGTGTAGTGAATACAGTGGTAGAAGAGACGATTGTTGCAGGAATTTTCTTTAAATGTGTATTCTTTGTTCTAATAGAAGTAGCATGCTTTATTGGATAGGCAAATGGCAGCAAGCGTTATAATTTTCTTCAAAAATTCTTCGAAAGGTGAGTTAGACTACTCTCTACTCAGCACTAAGTTGTTGTTGCAATTACATTGTGTATGATCACGTTTCTCCGTCTATTGTTTCATTAATGTTATCAAGAATTTTTCGATGTTTATCCTTCGCAATTTGTAATTCATTTTCTTTTCATACTTATCGTTAAAAAACTGTCATTACAAAGATGGTATTTATTTATGCTCATATATTTGTCATCAATTTCGTTACAAAAGTTATAATAGTTAAATGGCGATACTGTGACCACAGCAAGAATAGTTGGCATGGGAAATTTTACGTTGATCACTCTTCTATCAGTGTTATGCGCAGTGATTTTACAAGTTGGGACTCAGTTCGAACCGGAGAAAGAGTGCTTTTGCAGATCGTATGAAGCTATCGAAAGCTGTCAGTTAGTGATTTCGTATTTTTCTAAAGTTAGACTGTTAGTTGTATTTATATTGTTCATGATTTTGGAAGGAATGCTTGGAAAAGCTTTATATTTTGTTTTGCAGTTTATGCAGCAACATCGTCTTACTAAAAATATAAATTTTGATGTTTGTTCTTTTCTCATATCTATGTTTTTCTGTGTGATTCTTCAAACTATGATTTTCAGATGTACAGCAGAAAGTATCGATTATTTTAATAACTACAAAGTGTTTCCTATACTGCAGAAGCTTCTCACTCGTGACTTTTTTAGATTTTACAAGGTCATTTATATTATTGTCATTAGTAAGCAAGTTATCCAAAATACAGAACGTGATGTGGAATGACTAAGTGAAATAGAATAGTTTCAAATAAAGTGTTGGGGCTCTTGATTAATCGAAATTGCTCATAAATGGTTTAATTTTTTATGTAGTATTATATAGTCGTTAATTTATTGTTGTATTAGGTTAATATGGAGAAAACGTGTCCATTTTGGCCAGATGATCGGCAATGCATGAGCAAAGAATGTGGTATTGGTTACTGTGATGATGAGGTTCCGTGTGGTCTGAAGCAACCATCCGTCATATCCGTGGTTCGTTCTGAACTCAATCAAACTTCTTCAAAAAAAGAATCTATTATTACTCAGATTCGTGGACGTAGTTCAAACTGTGGCAGCGAGGAAAGCAATTCATTCGATCCATTAGATAGGACACTTACAGATGGGGATCGTCGACAACTAAGTGATATGGATTGGCACGATGAAAATAAGGATAAATTTTGTGACTTTGAAGGTATGTGTCATTCGATTTTTTAAATCGTTTATGGAATTAGCATAACTTCATGTGCTAATTTAATCTAGATTATAAGCAGGTATGCACTATCGTAATTAGTCGAAATGAAAAGTACATATACCATAGATATGCTTTATAGAATCAAAAAGTGTTCACAAAATTATTCCTTTTTGTTTTTTTAGATGAAGGTTCAGCGGATATGCATTACGTTGATTTATCACGGAATCCAGAACGATATACTGGTTACAAGGGTGGCAGTGCTCAGAAAGTGTGGACTTGTATTTATCAAGAGAATTGCTTCAAGTTAGTCCATGAATTATTGTTATAGTTTTTCATTAATAAAAATGATTTCATCGTGGTTTTTCAACTTCAGAACCTATCTTCTATGCTAATTTCATCCTATTAAATATTTGGAAGCTCTTTGATCTTGCTCCTCATAGTTTATAATTATGGCTTGAGGATTCATACTTAAGTAGGAAGGGGTTATTATTATAGTTTTTCATCAGTAGTTTCTGTTGTTTTCAGACCAAACATGAAATACGACAAAAATTATCTTATTCACCCTAACTCCTTCGGTAAGTTGGCAGAGACTTACTAAAGTAGAATTTACTAATGTACGAAATCTCAAGTTAATTTCAAATTAAAAAGCACTTTTCAGTTTTTTCTTTTATACAGTAGTTTGAATTTTTTTCAGGCATGTGTTTCGAGAAACGTGTTTTTTATAGTTTAATATCAGGTTTACATTCTGCAATCACCATATCCATTGCTGCCAACAGCTTCAAATCAAGTGATAACTTTCGTATATTTATATTTGATAATTTGATCTGAAAATTTTAGAATTAATTCAGTTTTTTAATGCATAGTTTTGGAAATGGCTAAATTTAACGATCATTTTCGTAGCCTGTCCATAGAGATTTTTTAGTAAAGCCAAGTTTGAAAATAAATGAAATATAACCCCGTAAATAGCAATGTGTTTTTTATAGTTTAATATCAGGTTTACATTCTGCAATCTTATTATTTTGATGTATATAAAGTTGTCTGTAATTCTTTGTCTTTCTATTCTTGAGCTTTTTCCGTGTCGGTTTTATTTTCTTATTTAACCAACTTTAATCTCAATTTTGAACAGTTTAGATCCAGTCAGTTTTGGAGATGGAATATGGTATAGAAACTACGACCTTTTTAACGATCGATTCGGGACGAAATGGACTTCCGAAGGGCCGCAGAGGCTGAAGAATGTTTACTTTGTCTACCTTCTTGAATTGAGAGCTTTAGTTAAGGCAGCACCATATTTTCGAAAGGAACTGTTTTACACCGGCATTGCAAAGGTTGACAGTTATTTTAAATTATATTGTTCATTTTAAATTATATTCTTCATTTATCCTGAAATTATTCATCTGATTTATTATTTTGATGTATATAAAGTTATCTGTAATCTGCGAAAAAAATGGTCTTGTTAATTGTTAAAAGTGATTGCGTTACAGGAAGACGCTGAAACACGCAAAACAGTGGAAGAATTGATGAAAACTTTAAAAGAATTCAAGGATCCTTTCGACGAAACTGAGATGTTCACAGTATGTTACATGACTAGAAACTTCACTCGATATTTATCGAAATTTTGATATCTTCAATTTTCTAGTGTTGGTCATTTCTTGCAGATAAATCTAATGATTATCATATTTTTTTTATTTTGCTTGATAGCTTTACATCCTTTACTTCCTTATTGTAAGTCAAGATCATGTGTATTGAATTAAAGAGCGAAATGTTTAATTTTTTATAAAGGGTGTTGAAGCTGTAGCTCGAGAACTGCGTGAAGAATTTCGTCAACATTTTTTCAACATTTCACGAATTATGGATTGCGTTGGCTGTGATAAATGTCGTTTATGGGGAAAGCTGCAAACTCATGGAATGGGAACTGCTTTGAAAATTTTATTCTCAGATTTACCTACTTCACATTATAAAGCTCACGATGGTTCTGTCTATCCACCTTTTCAATTGACAAGGTATATATTTTGTACTCATTGCTTTTTTATTCAGTTTTCGATTTTCATTCTATCAAATTATGAATAAAATTATAGAGGTTTCATAATCCAATTTTTCGCTTCTACTAGTTTAGAAAATTTCATCAAGTAATTTTTCTCCTTTTTCTTCTCTGCGCTGAGATATTATTATTTAGTATTTAAATTGTATTTCAGAAACGAAGTCGTCTCGTTATTCCAGAGTTTTGGTAGATATGCATCAAGTATAAAAGAAGTTGATGAATTTCGACGGGCAACGTATTAGATTATTAGTAAGCGAAAGTACTTGGTTGTAATTGTTCATTCTGATGAAATATTTGTCCATTTTTTTACATTTATTTCTGTTGAATTTTTTTGATTTTTCAAACAGCTTTTCCAAAAAATCTTTGAAGTAAATTTGGTGCCAAGGACTTATTCACTTCTCTTTTAACTGTTTAATTTGACGCTAGCGTTAATCGCTTGCAGTTAAAAATTTTGCTCTCAAATTCCGTGAATTATATAGGTCGCGCTTACTTAGCCATATGGAATGGATTAACTATTTAGGTTTGAAATTAATTGTAGTTGCAGAAAAAAAGAGTTGAAAATCATTTTGCATGAAAAAAGTATAGAGTTCCTATATTTTCATAAAAATGAAAAGTAATTTTTTCATATACTCCGTTGTACATTCTTGTTTCGTCAATCTATAATTGGAATGGACGCGAAATTGAAAATCATGACCTTTTATGTTTGGTGGGAAATTAAAAGTATAGCGGGTAGCTGAATCGCATTATAAATATTTTGCTCGTCATGATTCAATCCTTCTAATATTTTATAGTTCAGACATTAAAGTATCCGTTTTTGTGGACGACATTCACGAAAAAAGTTTTCGTTCATAAACTCATTCATATTATGGATTACTTCACTGTTCCTTTTGGCTTCAAATTTTGTCACTGTTAAACTTGATCTAATGTGTTGTGTGTAAATATAAGTCATTAAATTTTTCTACATTATGAATAGATTGTCTGCAAGAGTGGAAGTTTTTGAGAGAAGTTGGTCTAAAGTTGTAGGTCCACATTACTTTGAATTTTCACACTTACTAGGTGTAATTATATTCTTTATTCTACTGGACAATAAATTTAGCTATATAGAGAATAAAATTCTGGGACAATTTTATGGGAATATTTGCTCGCATTTCAGCTTTTTTAAAGCAAAAACATTCAACAGAGGTGTGGACATTACCGGCACTTCAGTGCTCTCATCATTGCAAGAAAAATTGTTTGATAAGGCGGGAGATGCAAATAAGTTCATCTGAGAAATGGCGCGACGTCAATAATTTTAATGTGCATTTGTGCGTTGATTTTTCTACAGTTCCCATTTTTTTATTTGACTTGCTTTTTCGGACGGCTTCAATTTGTGTTTGCTTTGTAAACATTCACACTAATTTAAAAAGAAATACGGTTTGAAGAGACTTGTTTGTTTCTTTAAAGTATACAAAAACAGAATAAAGGACTGATATCGGTTACTAGGATAAATCAAGACAAAAAATAAAGTTGAGGAATTAAGGAACAAATAAAATAGTCAAAACATTGACCATACAAAGCACCGAAACGGCGATGAATAAGATGACCACTGATCGAACGTAATAGTGAAAACTTACTCAAGTAAATGAATGATCATTTACTTGAAGTAGAGAGGAGAGTGAGACATATTCGTACAGATTACTGACTGCCTACATAATATAAAGTTTTTTAGAAGTAACTGCAACTGAATAAACTACCTCCTAATCACCATTTGGTTTTAAAGATCTTAATTAGAGATGATTAAATTACAATCAGTGCTGACCAGAAAGGTGACTTAAAAAGATGTAAATTCTCTTCAATCAATGGAAGAAATAATTTTAGAATATCTAATCGAAAATAATAAATGCGAGAATTCTTGCACTACTTTTTGCATCAATTTTTAATTTTCTGTATAAAGAAGAGATTGTTTGTCTTCATGCAGAAAATAAATTATGATAAAGCAAAGGTGAAGTTTGTAGAGGACGCACAGTAATTGATGTGCACTTGCATTAGCATTTAAAGTGATTTAGAAGTTCAAATAGCAATAAAAATATTACAGAACAATAAATAGAAAAGAACAGAAGCTTTCTTGATTGGATCCATCAGTGAAATTTTGTTGCGAAGACATATAATGATTTGACAAAGTAATGTGAGAAAGAATAGATATATTATGACTTTATCTATAATGTAATGAATGATTCTATTCATTATTAATACTCCCACGTAATTGCGCAATGATTCGTGGACACAATTCACGTGGATCATTTTCATCCGGAAATGCATCCATTACAGTCAAGACAATTCGTTTCGGAAACAATTGACAAAGGATATTTTGCAGCTGATTTCGATCATTAATCACTGATGGGTTATTTTGGTTTGTCCTCAGTGATCTACATAATATTTCATATTCAGTTTTTTAAGAAATTTACAAACTATCAAAATTAATACATGCAGATTCCTTGACAGAAAAAGGAACTAATTTCGAATGAAACACTTGACTATATTCTGAAGAAAAGACCACAAAGGTATTCTTACTTTGCTGAATTCAATTTCGATTTGTTCCAAGCTGGTATAAATGGTATTTGAGGCTGTGATGATATGGTATTATTTTTTCCACACATGTTATTACTTCCTGCAGGTGAATTTGGAACAAAACAGTGTGGTGAAAGTAGAGCATTACTGCCTATTTCCTGATGTGGTTCATTACCTGAAGGTATTTATTTATTGTCCACTTATACTTAAGCACCGTAATTTCAATAACACATGATTTTGGTTTTGTCAATTTTTATTTACTAGTTATTGTAATTTTATATGTATTTATATGTACTTAATTTTACGATAAAAATTTGTAAACACATAGACTTTTTTAAAATAATAATGGGAATTAGGTTGGATAGAAAGAATTTATCAATGCGTAATATGAATTTAAGATAAAATACATAATGAAAAGTCAAGCAGCTTGACTTTAAACTGAAAAATGAATAATATTTGACGAAAAACTTCGACAGTTTTTTAACATATTTTGTAAATTATGCATTTCTGTCAAAGCCTCACGAAGTACCGTTGTGGTATCGTAATCCATTATAGGTGAATGGTAAGCAGAGAGGTTGAGGAAATGAATTAGAACTATGGTAGGGATTTGAATGTAATCGCAGCGAAGGTGACGGTGCTGAGTTTGATACAACCAAAGATGGATGATGATTTTGACTTAGTAAAGGCCAATTTCGAGATAAAGGAGTATTCTGATGGACTGATAGCGCTAGATGAGGATGTAAAGGCATCTGTCTTGATCGTTCTCGAGGACTGTTTATTACTATGTTTTGCATTAGTTTCTGAAACTCTATTAGAAGTCAACATTTTTTTTCTAAATTTTAGCATAAATTTAAAAATTGTTTTCTTTTTAGTGAAAGTTATAAATAATTAATTGTAAACGATAAAAATTTCACATCAAAATTAACACAACACAAGTTGTATGTTCTTCAATTGGACAACAGAAACGGACATTTTTCAGCGATAAAAATATAAGTAATTGAAATAGCTGTGTTTTTATACAACAAAATTACATAAATTATCAAATTTAAAAATGAAAAATAATAGAAAATAAAGCTTGTGTGTTATTCACCAATTTCATTGTTATAAATAAAAAATTACTTCATAAAAATGTTGAAAAATGGAATAGTAACGCAAATATTAAAAATTATCTATGGTGCCAGCAGTATTGAGGTAACCAAAGGTATTTTTTTTAATTATGTAAAAACCAACTCAGATAAGTGAACATGATTTGGTTGGATTAATTTAGATGTGAAAGTACGTCAAAAATACGTTTAAATATGCAATTAGAAAGATATATATATATATATCTTATTATTTATAACTGTAGACAGGAATACTTCTTACTCTATTATCAGATGTTTTTTTTGCTGCGTCAAGCATTGGCAAATTCAAGTTTTGAGTTCGCATAATCGTCGGATAAATCGAAGATTCAGAAGCAGTTGACTTCATCTGCGAATCATCTGCAAAATAATTTTTTTGAAATTTAAAACTGAACATACATTAAAATAGTGATTATGCACGATACGTACTACGAAGAGATAATTTAGAATGAAAGTTTGATAGTAAACCTAATTTTTATGCACAGCTTTAACAAGTAAAAGGAATATCTAATCACTGTAATGCTAAAAAGTAGATTTAGAATTTACATAAAATTAGATTTCAGAGTTTGAGTAATTCTTTGCCAAGCAAAACTATTGCGCTGATATTGTAAACGAGAAAACTTATTAAAGTAAGGTAACTTACAAACAGGTAATAACTCTTTCCGTTGTTTTTCTCTCATTAATCGTTCCGTGACACTGACGTGAATACCATTTGGCCTTTCCGGGTGGTAAAATCTGTAGAATCCCTTGCTAAGTTTCTTTTTGATCATTGTTTTTAATAATTTTTATATATGAATGAACTATTCTTGTGAAAGCAAAACTTTAAATTTTCAACACAAGTACAAAAATTCAGAAGCAAATCTGTACGAAAAAAATTAGAATGTAGTCTTACTTGCATTTATTTCCATAAGTACATTTTCGCGCATACGGACAAAGTTGAGCATGTAATGGTGTATTTCCTTTTGTCAAGAATTGAGCTAGCTTCGGTCCATACCTTCCGAGAGGGTCATCTGGTGGCATAAACCTTACAAAAAAGTCAAAAAGTTTTTGGAAGCCATTGCGCTGTGACTAAATTATTCGTAGTTACAAAAAAACCATGAAACTGTAGCAAAAATTATGTGAAATGATATATAAAAACTTATAGTAGATGAAAAATTGCAAATACTGAGAAAAAAAAATCAAAATCATAGCGACAGAATTATCTGCTTAATTAGATATTACAAGTTGAAACATTGAGTGCTACTACAGTACTCTTCATTCAACAAATATAATCAAAAACAATACAGCAACAATTTTTAATACTAATAAAATTCTATTCACTAAATTTTGAAAAATGGCCAATTTCCGTGATAGAAGTGAAAAATTACGCAAAAAATGAGTAAACCAATACAAAAAGTCAACTTCCGAAACAGCTTTAACTAGTCTAAGCGAAATGAATACAATCAGAATTGCAACATCGAAACAGGTTTGTGCAACATTCAAAGCTACTCTCCTTGCCTACAAATACTTTTTAATTAGAAAATTTTTGCAAAATTTGCTAGTCTCAATTTCCGAAAACAGATTAGATTAGTCTAGTTGTAAAAGTTTTACATTATAAAAATAAACAAGGTAAAAATTTTAGCATTAAAAATTAATTCAAAATTATTAGTTGAGTGCAAAGCAACAAGTATGAAACAAAATCTTACCTTCCATCAACAAAAGAGTACATTAAAAGCCTTTCGTTGACAAGTATACGATATCGTGGATTTTCCTTGATCAGATCTCGATACTCATCATTGCTTACTATAACTGCATCTTTTTCATCAGCTGTTTTTAGGATGTACCGATCATCATGACAAACAATTCGACGACCATTGATGCGACGTGATGGCGTCCATACCTTTAAAAATACTATCACATTCGAAACTGCTTTTTTATTCTATTGCTTTATTTTTTACGTCAAGCGACAGAATAATTAAAGCATAACACTTAGTAGACGAATCCAACAATTTATTACCAAGTATCTGATTTTTAAGATCAGTTTCATTTGAATGATACAAAGAAAGCAAATTTATGGCTTAATAATTCATATTCAAACACTTTTAGCATATTAGTTCATTATCTGACATCCGATCCTTATTAGAGTGATGATGTACAGTAATATAAATAGTATAATTTACTGTAAAAAAAATATAAAATAAATCATAGAAAGAAAAATAAATTGCTAGCAGTGTATCTGTTAGCTAGTGGAACGTTGAAGAACGTCGATAACTTCAGTAATTATCATATTTTAAATGTATTATAAAAGATTAATAAAACTTTCCCTTTATACTTTTACTCAAAAAATTCGTCTTAAATTTGTGCAAAAGAATTTTGACAAAGTAAACTTGACTGAATTATATTTATAAACTGTTTAGAAATAATTTTGTCTCTTTACTTTATTGTATCAAAAATTATGTTGTAATTATTTAAATTATGATAAGAAACCTACTAAAACATTTTCACGTTCCAGTTCAAAGAGAATGTGCTGATCGGTAATCGGACAGTCTGAGCGAGGAACTTCACGTCGAAATTGTGGTACAAAAACAATAATGTCTGTATGACCACGATTACGGAAGAATTGCACGCACTCTAAAATTCCACGACAAGAAAATACTTCTTTACGTCCATGTCTAAAATTTTCACTTTTAATAATGATATTTTTAATAATAACTTTGTTTTATGAAGTGTAATTATTTATTGCGTACATTTATGCTGCATAAATGATCCAGTAAACTTGACTGAATTATATTTATAGACGAAAAAATATAAGGAATAAAATATTTTTGTAACCCAATCATCCATACTCACTGTATAATTACAATAGAATGTGTGGTTAAATATATGCTCAATAATTTCACATTTTTTCGTCAATTTCGATTAACTCAAAGCTTTATCAATGAAAAATATTGATATTTGCCGGTATATTTTTGTTAACTCTATTGATAAATATACTTTTTATAAATTTTTAACCGCTAATTTTTATTCGATTGTATCAAAATGAAACCTTCTTTTAATACTAAGTATATTAAAAATTATTCGATAATTATTTTAAACATTTTTGATAAATATTTGCAAATATCTTCAAGTAAAGTCGGTGCAAGGATTTTGATCAGAAAGACTAATAATACAAATGAAAAAGTGTAATTCAAATTCTTGAATAAATAAAATCCAAAAAGTTAGCAAGCGAAGTAATCGCAGGAATTATTTCTTCTCACAAACAAAGCAGTAACATTATTTTTCTTCAAGATGAAGACTATTTCTCAAAATTTATTTACATATCCTTTATACAAGGTTTCTGTTGGTGTTATGTGAAGATTGGATTTCAATGAATATATTTCTGATAGAGTCAAATCATACACACACTAAATCAGTAAGCATCAATACCAATTTAAAAAATTTTTAAAGCAGAAATTCTGTTCAGTAGATTTG